AAACACAGACATGCATGGTAATGTCCTTAAACTGAGCGGAAAGCCTGCATCTAAGCTTCCAAACTCCGATGTAGAGCTACCAGGTCAATCTCTGGCCACTTTAGCAGCTGTTAGCCAGAAGCACATTGGTTCGAAGCTGTTTCACAAGTGCATCTGCTACACTACAAAAATAAAACCCGAAAGACTAACATATGGATTAAAACACCTCAATTACTTATATGCAGAAGACAGATAAGAAATAGAGTATCAAATTTTTCTTCTCCTGTCCAGTTAAGTATTCTAGATTCTCAACGTCTTCCTTTCTCTGGCAAAGGTTAATACTAAATTAACAATAAATCCCTGTTCAACAACTGTTCTGGCCAACTGCACTTGATGTGTGTGGCTCCTCTTCTGAGCCAGAAGGGTATGGGTGCCTGAAAGATTTTGTGGTTTTATCCACTTAAATCCTCACCTTGCCTTAAAACCCTTGTCTTCCTCCCGTCCTTCAATCACCAGCAAAATAATCACTTGCAGAACACCAAGACGTCTAAAACTTCCTTTTTTGTAAATATCATTACTTGTGCATTACGACACAACTGAGCCGTGCCTGAAGTCAAGCTGCACTGTTTCTGAAAAACATGAGGTATCACTGGGCAGCCCTGTCTGGGTCAAAAAAACCACAGAGTGCTAGAACACAGCGCTAAAATGTCACAGTGCATCCCAGGTGTAAGGCAGCAGCTTTTCACACTCCTTGGGATCACTCCAGAAGAGCATTACCGCACCTTACTTGCTGTGTTGACTACTGTGGGTCTAATTCAGCAAGTCTAACTTCTGGAAGATGCCAGGTGAGGAAAGGCAGCACATCATACGTATGTATTTCCTAGACACTAGCCTCAGGGACAAAGCCCCGCCTTGCTCTGTAGAAGATGCTTCAACATCTATAAAATGGAAAAAAAAAAAAAAGGCTGGATTTGACCAAAATAAATTCGTTCTCCTACGCCCCGCAAGAAAAACCATCTACAACAACATTATGGCTGAATAAAATATTAAGAAGGCAACACATCATGGTTGAAGTGACACAGAAGCAAAGCCACTTGGAGCAGAGCATAGTATTAACTGGCTGCTGGGGGTGGGACAGAAGACACCACCATCACCACCCCTAAAATCAAGCTAAATAATTCCTGAGCCATACCTGAGAAACGTGCGAAACATTTGTTCATTTAGAGGAACATTTTTAGAAATGCATCATCATTTTACCTTCATGACAATGTCCCTAATGGCCTAAAAGTATTAAATGAAAAAGTTCACAGGGCCAGGGAGTGCAGAAACTAAACATGAGACGTGTCCTCTGCATCAGACTCTTAACCTCTCTGAAATCCCTCGCTTTAAATATAGACTGTTACTGTATATACTACTACTGGATCAAGAAAAACAGAAGATATCCCTGTTCAATTTTGAACCACAAAGCAAGCAGAAATAGTATCAAGCTATTCTGACGTAGACCTGTATAAGTTTAGAAAACAAGAGCGTTGGAGAGAATGAGGAGCTTAACATTGAAGGCTGCCCCCCCAGCATCAAAGCAAGTATTCCCCGAGGTAGGTAGATCTTCCACCAGCAAAGGCTCACGCCTCTATTCCCTGCACTAACGCATACATGTTATTTCTTTGAGTCTCCATCTTTTTCGCTTCTTGGCCCTTTGGGAAGGGCATCGTCTGCCTCCCCAGGCCAGCTCGGAGATCAGTCTTTCCTCCTGGGGCTTGCCCACACAGGAAAAGTGCACCAGTTCAGCTTAAGGGAGATTTTCAACTAAGGTAGTTAAAACAGTACGAAAGGTCCCATGAATATTCTTAGGCCTGGCTAAACCAATCTCATTTCAGCATCAAACATAATCAATGAGCAAGTGACCCGACTTAGTGCGCAAGGAATTGCAAGCTTCTGCAGACATGTATTTGCATCGAACTGGTTTATGAAGAAAACCAGTTTGACTTGAATAAACTGTACAGAAAGAATTGCAAGCTTCTGAAGACATAAGTGTGCACCACATTGGTTTTAAAAAGTTCCAGTTATGCACGGTTCTCATCTGAATGAGGCCGCATACTCACTAGGAAGGTGCAACATTTACGGGAACGTTGTATGAGCATTTGTTAACGGCCAGTCTTTGAGAAAGAAAGGAGATTGTTCTTGCCCTGCCACAGCAGCACGCGCGTTCTCCACGCTCCAGTTTACCATTACAGCAGAGGACTGAGAAGAAGAAGAAGAAAAAAAAAAAAATCAAGGCATTCCGCTCTGCAGAAGTTTCCATACACATAAACAGGCTGAAATTTTGGGGCGTGACTAGCTAGGAATTCATGAAGGCCACGTCAATGTTTGTTCCAGCTTCCTGCCAGGCAAGATGAAGGAGTTCTCCGAGCAGGGAGGAGCAGCAAGGAACTCTCTAGCATCCACCAAACGCTACTCCTGCCTAATGAGGGTTATTTAACTTGGCATGACCTAAAAATTGCTGTTTAAATTAATTTTTAAAAAAAAAAGTTACTACTTAAATTCATATTAGGTGCTCCCCAAAGCTGGAGGATTACGAGCTACATACCAGTATAGAAAACATGCTCGCAGGTTACAACAGCCCTCACAAAGGAGAGCACAAAATATTCATTATTTCATAAATGTATGCATATCCAACATCACACGCCTAACCCTAACATTCACGCACTGCCCAAACTGCTCCCGCCATTGGGTTCGTGCCTCAGCATACTACTGAGGGATGCTTTAGAGTGAAACCCCATTTATGAGGCAGCATTATCTCCCTACTGATGCTAACTGCAGTCACCTGTACTCGTTACTGCACACTTCTGACTGATGACATTTTTAATGATTATCTGCACCACATGCCTAGAGGCCCGCACCGAGAGCGGGATGTTCCGGTGCTAAGGGCTTTAAAACCCTCCTGTCTCTGTGAGCTTTGAAACCAAACACCCAGACACAGAAAAGCCTGGTGGAGAAGTGACAGGCAGGAGGAGGTTACCATTCTCATTTTTCAAACAGCAAGCCGAGACATGCAAAGATCAAGCAAAGTGTCAAAAAATAACACACAATGTCTCTTCAAACGTGCAATTATTGCCACCGACCTGGTGGCAAATGCTCCATAGCTAGTTGTGTTAAATATTAACTCCTGTATTCATTTCTCCCCTCTGAAGATAACGCTTTTCCCGCACATAGAGACGGGGAAGCACTAACCGCGAGTAACAACCCTCACTACAGCGTCCTGCAGTGGAAGCAATACCGAAACAACGCCTTACCATTTCACAAAAATAGAAGGGGCACTTTTCTAAAGGAACTTGCGATGCTAACACTATGAAGTGTCGGTT